ATATTTATGTGCCAGACACTCTTATACTAGGTGCTAGAGATACGGGAGTGAACAGAACCCCTGAACTAATGGATATTATACTGTAGCTGGAAGTTGAAGATAATAAAGAATGAAAAAAATAAAAAAATGTTGATAACTTCTGTGAAGACTCATGTATTCTTTTTTTTTTGGGTCACACTCGGTGATACAAAGGGGTTACTACTGGTCATGCACTTAGGAATCACTCCTGGCGGTGCTCGGGGGACCATATGGGATGCTGGGAATCGAACCCAGGTTGGCTGCGTGCAAGGCAAACACCCTCCCCGCTGTGCTATCGCTGCAGCCCCAAGGTTCATGTATTCTTGATTGAAGGGGATCTTGTGCTTTAAACAAACAAAGCAGCATATACCCAAAAGGAGAGATAGAGTAAGAGGGAATGTGCCTGTCACAGAAGCAGGGGGTGGGAAGGGATGGGGGGTGGCAGGAAGAATACTGGGAACATCAGTAGTAGAGAATGGGCACAAGCGGAGGGATGGGTACTGGACTGTGTGACTGTATGACTGAAACATAATTATGAAAATTTGTAAGTCTGTAACTATCTCACTGTGATTCATTAAAAAAACAAACAAAGAAGACACATGCCTATAAATGGAAACACGTGGTGGACCTTAGAAGACAAAGTTTTTTATGTGCAGGACTCCCATAAACCAGGGCTTCAGGGTCTGGGTAAAAAAGTTGGAGAAAGGGACCTTCTCCTTACTTCTCCCTAAGGCCCAGCACTATTGCAATACTTTGAAGATGTGGATTATATTTAGAGACCTTGTTCATAACCCTATCACAAATACAATCCCCAATTGTGTGTGGAATAGAATTAAAGTGTAACTTCTAAGTGGTTGTACAAATTTAGCCTTGACCTATTTACAACTTTCAGGGGGCAGAAAATAAATTTGAAGGGTGGAGACTGCATGAGGGCCCATATGAGGGTTACAACTGACTTCAGACTTCACATAAATTCTTTGTGTCTGTGGTTAATTACCCAGCTACACTAGGAAAAGTATGGCTCATATCACAATGGCACAGGGTGAATAACTGAATGTGCACAGAAAAAGAGGAAACGCTTCCGCACCTATTGTACAAGAAAAAAGGGTAATGAAGAAAAGGGAAGCACAGTGAATACCAGCAAAACACGTTTACTTAGAATGTTTTCAGTGAAAACCCAGACTTGATGAGAAGTTGGAAGGTTTCTTGGAATGTTTGCGCTGAGTAAAGTTAGAGCAGATGAGAAAGAAATTTGATAAGAATGGTCTTTAAGACGTCTAAATAATTTGATGGCACAGAGTAGTAACTGGAAGTCCATTTAGACCTTATTTGAAGGGTGAGCGGGTCTCACTCATGGCCAAGTCTATGATTTATATATATGTATATATATATATATATATATATATATATATAATACACACATATCTATACACCTATATCTATATATGTCACACCTGGTGATGCTCAGGGGTTACTCCTGGATTTGCATTCAGAGATTACTCCTGGTGGTGTTCGGGGAATATTCAGGGACCATATGGGATGCCGGGGATTGAACCCAGGTCGGCCATGCGCAAGGCAAATGCCCTACCTGCTCCAGCCCCTTGTGTAGAGCTCATTCCCATTTTCTTGGCAATGTACCCACTCCATAAACCTTGGAACCCTCTAGATATCCACTGGGCCCAGTCCTGTAAATTAGCCAGCTGACTTAAGCCTCTACTTTGCTGTTTTACACCTGCTTTTCCTTTTTTTATTCTAAGACTAGACCTACTTCCTATTTTTTCTTGTCTTATTTCGCACAAACTTCCTGAAATGAGTGACCTGTTGAATGCAAGAATTGTTTCATTATATTCAAATCCTGCTACTGGTCCACTTCCCTAGTTCCTCCCAACCGTTGGCTCTCAAATGACAGTTATGTACTCGCCTGGATCAGTCACATCTCTTGATCTCTGTAAATGTTTCTCCTATGTCTGTTTAAGTTTCTCCAAGTCCATCCCCCCACCACATGGTGCTAATATCTGTGAACTTTCAGCAGGCTTCATGGCCAGTGTCTCTGGGCAGCATGATGAAGCTTTAACATGGGTGGTGTCCTCAATAACAGTGGTAAAGGGCTTTGCACAATGGCTTAAATCAGCTCCTACTGGAAAGCAGTTTTGTTAATGTAAGATTAAATTCAGACAGTAGGCTCTATATACTGGAGATAGAGTCCCTTCTAACTGGTAGGAAGTAGGGCCCCATCGCAAGGGTGAGGGAGTTGACAAGATGAAATTTTCATGTGAAATAATGAATAAAGGAAAAGGCAGCTCAGATAGAGAAGGGAGCACCAAATAAAGGGTGTTGGGAGGATCCTCCCGGGATGGGAGAAGCATGCTGAAAGTAGACTATAGACCGAACATGATTGCCACTCAATGCCTCTCTTGCAAACCATAGGACCCAAAAGGAGAGAGAGAACAAAAGGGAATGCCCTGCCACAGAGGCAGGGTGGGATGGGGGAAATAGGGGTGGGAGGGATACTGGGATCCGTGGTGGTGGGATATGGGCACTGGTGGAGGGATGGGTATTTGATCATTGTATAGTCGAAACCCAAGCACAAAACCTTGTAAGTCTACAACTGTACCTCATGGTGTTTCACTAATAAAAATTATATTTAAAAAAGATGTAACAGACTTATGCAAAAGCCTAAAAACTATATTAATTTTTCTGGTTATAGTTGAACTGTATTTGGATCAACAGGTTGATTAGTAGGGCCGAATCACAAAATCCTGGGAATATTTTAGTTGTAGAAAGTTAAGCTGTGGGGCTGGAGCGATAGTACAGCGAACAGGACATTTGCCTGGCACTTGGCCGACCCGGGTTCGATTCCCAGCATCCCATATGGTCCCCTGAGCACCTCCAGGAGTAATTCCTGAGTTCAGAGCCAGGACTAACTCCTGTGCATCGCCTGGTGTGACCCAAAAAGAAAAAAAAGAAAGTTAAGCTGTGTAAGCTTGCTTGCAAGCATGAATGCATGCAAGTGTGAGTGCACTGTTTCTAGTTTTCCTAGAGTTTTGTAAAAATGATCTTATAAGTACTTTAGGCTCACTTAGCACGCTTAGGGAAGTCAAGGAAAAGTATTTGTTCTTTGTAGGAATAATCTATGGGGCTCTTGGCAGAGATAGAAATAACCAAGGTAAGAGCGGTGTAGAATGAAGGAATGAGCAAGCAAAGTAGAATAAAGTAATTTGTTTTAGAAAATGATACTGTGGTTTCAAATTTGTCTATTTGTTTAAGGAAATCAATGTCTAATGGCTCCTGTAAGCCTTATGTTAAAATTTGGTTGAGATTTGGGATGTGTCCCCATTTTAATAGTAGTCCAACTGACCGTGGCCAACTGTTCTGTGGTGCTACCACAGTTTCTTGGGGGCAAGCACCACTCTTCATCAGATATACCTAAGCGAAACCACATGCTCTCCCATTTGCTATTATTAAACCACTTGAATGAAAATACCCATACTAGCTCTTTCCCTTCTTGAAGTAATCGCGTTTGATTTTGCTTCCTAAATTTATTTCTTCTTGTGAACATCATTTTTGGTTTCTGACCACTTGGCAGCTTCAATTTATACCATTCATCATTATTTATTTATTTATTTTTGCTTTTCGGGTCACACCTGGTGTTGCTCAGGAATTACTCCTGGCGGTGCTCGGGGGACCATACAGGATGCTGGGAATTGAACCCAGGTCAGCCGCGTGCAAGCCCTACCTGCTGTGCTAACGCTCCAGCCCCTATGCCATTCATTATTAATCGGTATGCTGCTGCCCCGGTGCAGCTGGCTTTTCAATCCGTAAGCATGCTAAATCAATTTTCATTCCTTTCCCTCCTCACTCCACCCTTCACACAGGGAATAGGGTTGTCGCAAATGTTGGGAAGCTGTTAGTCATCTTGCACACGGGCAATGGTTTAAGGATGTGAGGGGGTGAAATTCCCTTCACGCACTCCCATTCACGCGTCCCTTTCTCTGAGTGTCAATGCAGAGGGAGAACTACTTTCAGATATTATAGATGACTGGGGTCCGACCCGATACCAAATCAGGAAACGGATGTAATCGAGGGCTCTGGATTAAGGAGTGGCAGAAACAAAACTGAATTCAGGTCTCCTAACAGCCGTCAGGCGTGTGCTAGAGATTCTGGATTCGGGCGTGAGACCAAGTGGTTCTTGCTCAAGGACTCACTCAGCCGACGGATGGAGCGGCGCTCACGACGCGTCAGACACTATTTTAAGCACGGGGATTCCGACGGGGGGCTTGGGGCCTCGGGCGAGGGCCCGTCCTCAAAAGCCAAGCGCTCCGCCTCCTCCCGGGACATCCCGGTGCTAGGAACGAGGTGCGCTGGCCGCGAACCGGGAGGAACCGCCTCCCACGCCCACCCGCGTCAGCTCGGCGCCTTCTCCCGCGAGTGGGGGCTGCTTCCCGCAGCAGCCGAGGGGCAGGTGGGAGCCTCCCCGGCGGCCAGGGCGCCGGGCGCTCCGGCCCGAAGCCCGCGCTCTCCGCGTCGGCCTCCCCGCCCTCCGCTCCCGCGGCCGGCCGCGGACGGACCCGCAGACCCGCGCGGGAGGGTCGCCGCGCCCCTCCCCACGGGGCGCCCCGCAGCGGGTCCCGCTCCCGCCGCAGCGGCGCCCCGCGCGCCCCGCCCCGGGCTGGCCTCCAGCGCCGCGCCGCAGCCTCAGGACCGGCTCCCCGCCCGTTGCCATGGAGACCGACGTCACTGACGTGCCGTGCGTCGCCTTGGAAACAGAGGAGCATCCTCGGCGCGCCGGGGAGACCCGCCCCTGCCGCTCGGACCGCGCTGGCGGGCCCTGCCCGGTTCCCGGCCGGGGCAGCCCCGAGCCCGAGCCGCCGCGAGACCCCCGGGCCCCCGGGAGCCGCCGAGCGCGGCGCCTGTCGCCCGCGACCCGCCCCGCCGCGCCGTGCCCGCGGCGCCTCCCGCCCCGCCGCTCGCCGCCGCGCCCGATGGAGGACGGGCCGCTGGAGATCATGACCAAGGACGGCGGCGACCTGCCGGCGCCCCTGGACGTGCCCGCCGTGCCCGCGGTGGGGGACGTGATCTCCGGGGAGTACAACGGCGGCATGAAGGAGCTCATGGAGCACCTCAAGGCCCAGCTGCAGGCGCTCTTTGAGGACGTGCGGGCCATGCGCGGGGCGCTGGACGAGCAGGCCTCGCACATCCAGGTGCTGTCGGACGACGTGTGCGCCAACCAGCGCGCCATCGTCTCCATGTGCCAGATCATGACCACCGCGCCCCGCCAGGGCGGCCTGGGCGTGGCCGGCGGCCCGGGGGGCTCCCCGGGCGCCCCCGCCCGGCCCGCGGCCGCGCCGCCGGGCTCCGGGCGCGACCCGGGCGCCGGGGACGCCGAGGACGAGGAGGAGACGCTCGGCTGCACCACACCCCCCGGGCGCCGGGAGCGCCCCGAGAGCCCCCGCGCCGGCCTCCTCGCGGGGGCCGGGCCACTTGTGGAGCCCCCCGAGCTGCCCGACGTCACGCTGCTGCAGCTGGGGGGCGAGGCGGCCCCGTGAGGGGTCCCCGCGGGGCGCGCCCTCCCCGCGCCGGCCGGGGGTTCGGACCGCAGCCGGGGGCGGGCAGAGAGGAAGGCGCCCTCCCCTCCCGCGGGGGCTGCGGGGCGCCCCGAAGTCCTTCTGCCCGGGCGAGGGAACTTAGCCGGCCGCGGAAAGGTGAGGTTCCGGGAGAGGAAGCGCCCACCCAGGACTTCCACCTCCCCCGTCCTCTGCGCGTGCCCCCTTCCCCGCCAACAGGAGAACCCCTGAATTGTGTAAATAAAATTCTGCTTTTTGTATTCTGAAAAAAAAAGGACGTCTCTAGGACGGTGGCAAATAATCAAATAATCTCTGACGATTTACCTAGACATTCAGCAATCGGGGTTATTCTGTTCTGGCAACAGAAACCGGAAACCCACCGAAACCCGAGCCACTCGGCGCTCTGCAGAAGACCCTCCCCTCACAGAGCTCTGCTGCTGATATTGGTAAAGGAAGCCCGAGGAGGGAACTGCAGCCCTAGGAATCGGGGTGAATGGGGGTTTCCAGGGCCCCTGGGCTGGGAGGAGCTGGCTATGAATGTGCATGAAGACGTAATAGCTCAACCTCTAGGATTTTTGCATGCAGAGCAAAGCCTGCCTTGCCGCTGACTTCATCTGGGATTGCTTTATCCACTCACTGGGGCTTAGAGAACAAAGAGCCCAGTTCACAGGCAGAGACTTGGGGATACTCAGCATCAGCCCCATTTTAGGGACTCCTGGGGGACTACAGCCCCCACACCTCTCTTCTGGCTTAACCTGTTTAACTTCAGTTCCTTTTCCTGTTAATAGTCTCTGCCCGGCTGCTTCTCCATGTTGCCTCCATAATGTCTTGTTACGTGTGTCAACTTGTGCAGTAGCGTGTGAGCCCTGAGGGGCAGGGCTTATGGCTCTGGTGTTAGGTTCGAGGGGCTTGCAGACCCGTCTGTGAGCCTCGGGATATCGTGGCGCTTCCCTCCTTCCTCCCCTCTTCCCCAACCAGGGCATGGAGCATGTGCTGTCCTTAGGTTCTTAACTGATGTGCCTCCCTCCCTCCAGTGGTGACTTTGTGTGCCCTTCCTCCTCTTCCTCCTCCTCCTCTGTGTACTCCTCAATGCTTTCCTTGTTGTTAACCTTAATAAAGAGGCATCATCTCCCCTCCTTGCTGACTGGTACTAGAAGGGCGTCAGGGTGGGGGTCTGGGTGGATGCAGGGTTAGTGTAACTCCAGGGACTCTGCCCTGCTATTTCCCCCTGGCTTCCAGTTCCAAGGAGCTATCAGTGCCTGCTCAGGTCTGGACAGGCACCACCAATTCCACCTGCTTTCACTTGATCTTGCACCTTGTTCTCAAGCCGGACTGGGAAAAGAGGACATGTGTTTTTATTAACCAGAATTCCGGCAGTGTAAGAGACACTTCCATAACTCCCCCTGGTTCCTGGGACAGCTTTCCGAATCTGAGTCCCGGACCGATAGGCAGGACACTTGTTCTAGGGAAGTGCTAGGGAGGGGTTGAGAAGGGATTCCTGGGATCTCCGGAGGAGAGTGACACATCACAAAGGAAACCACAGAACTGTCTCCGGCCTCTAGTGGAGAATGTGGGTATGGTAAGGTCTTCCCCAGGGAGCTTAGACTGACATCAGCTCTAGTCGGCTACCGCAGCCATGGGACATTTCCTAAAGCTGCCTGAACAAAATTGTGTGTGTGTGTGCGCACACACGTGTGCATGTGCCCACACATACTGCAAAGACCCAGAAGGAGCACTGGAGGCTGCAGTCATTGATCAAGGCTTGAATCTACTTAAAAAAAAATCTTTTTTTAGCATAGAATGATCTCTTGACCCTTGGTTTCTTGCTTGAGACTTAGTTTCTTCGCGTGTAAAATGGGAACAAAAATTTATTCCTAGATCTTCAAGAAGTTTTGTGTAAATCTAAGTTTCCTTCAGTTTGTGGAGCTGAGAGGAAAATGATGGTGATGATTTACTCCTCTCGGAAGGCAAAACTGAGGGCTAGAAGTTCCTTTTATTTATTATTTAAAATTTTTTATTTGTATTTTGGATCACACCCGGCAATGCACAGGGGTTCCTCCTGGCTCAGCACTCAGGAATTACTCCTGGCAGTAGGCACTTGCCAATCCCAGTGCGGTCTCACGATGACGCCTGATCAGAGAGTTGGGAGTAACTCTCAAGTATTACCTGATGTGTCTCCCAACCACCACCAAAAACAGAAAGAAAAAAGAAACCCTACATGTATGGAGCTGTTCCACATGATCTTTTTCACTCGTGATTGCATGACCTTTGTGGCAGAAAATACCCAGGTGAACCTGGAAAAAGTTGCGAATTTCTCCATCCCACTTTATTTTATTCTATCCTGAAAGATAGCTCTTTAGATGGAATTATATATGTATGTATTATATATTCAGACATTTAAAAGTAATTTCTGGGGGCTGGAATGATAGCACAGCGGGTAGGGCATTTGTCTTGCACACGGCCGACCCCAGTTCGATCCCCAACATCCCAAACAAAACAAACACTGTCCTCCCGTTGTTCATCGATTTGCTCGAGCGGGCCCAATAACGGCTCCGTTTTTTTTCTTTTTTGAGACTTGTTGTTATTGTGTTTGGCATATTAAATATGCCACTCTGCCGTGCGGGCGAGATACTCTCGGTAGCTTGCCAGGCTCTCTGAGAGGGGCGGAAGAATCGAACCCGGCTCTGCCAGGCTGGCTGCATGCAAGGCAAACGCCCTACCACTGTGCTATCGACGATACAGTTCTAGAAACAGACTCCAAAATTTACTCAAAGTCACATCCTTACTGTGCAACTTAAACCCACATTTTCTTTTTTTTTTTTAATTGGATTACCATGAGATACACAGTTGCAAAGTTGTTCATGATTGAGTTTCAGCCATGCAATGTTCCAACACCTGTCCCTTCATCGGTGTTCATTTCCCACCACTAGAAGCCCACATTTTTCTGACTTCACGGAAAACACTTAGCTAATGATTCTATTTGGACATTCAGAGGAGGAGATCCCTTAATTTTAAGAGTCCTTAAAAAAGAAAGTACATTCATGTTAGTCACTTCCTACTGGAATAAGAATTTGCGGTTCAGGTGTTGTGATCCTTCTCGGAGTACAGTGGGTGATATTACAGTGGCAGCATGAAGATACTGACCTTTGAGACCTGTTCCTTTAGAGGAAGAAGTTGGTGCGGTTTGAAGTGTTCCCAGTCACTCCATTCCTCTTTTGCACTCCACTTAGCTCAGTGTGTAAACACACAAAAAATAAAAAGGCCGGCGGTCAGGCCGTTTCCCCACTCCTGGGAGGGCGATGGCGATGGTCAGGCGAAGGAAGGAAACGAGGCCAAGCTGGTTGGTCTTAGCAGCCGTTTATTACATGGAAGAGATGTATGTCATGGAGGCCTCAGGAATCCTCGAGCACGTGCTCCTTTATTCTCTCCGCTTCTGTCCTCAGCCCCATCTTCCCAGGTTCTCTGATGCACGTGTCCCCCAGAGAGCCCTGAAATCTCCCTTATATAGATCGTAGTACCTCTAAAGGGCGCAATATAGTGATGTCATCAAAAGGAGTTACAGAAAGAACATTGAGGCGGCAAACCATAGAATCCTGGCTTCACCTTTTACAAGCTACAAGCACTTGGATTTGCATCCCAAAGACCAGCCTGGCCAGAGCTGGAAATCTACATCCCAAAGATCAGTTCTGGCTATCACCTGAGATCTGCATATCTAAGACCAGCTAGGGTTCTGTGAGAAAAGGGAAACTGCCTCCATATACTGAAATCTTTTACTGAAGGCAGTTTGAAGGGGAGAAAGTTCAGTCTCATCCAAGCTAGTCAGGACACACAGGGAAACTGCTTCTAGGACAGATCAACCCACCCTAGAACAGATTTCCCTGGATGTGTTTCTCCTCTCCTCGTCCGACCAACATATAAGCATGCATAATATAAATCATTTTGTATGACACAGTAAGAGCCTATAAAATTGCTCTCCTAGGGCCATCTCAATCTCAGACTGCAGTGCTCAGGCCAGATAGCTTTCCTATTCTTAGCAGCAGGGTCCTAGTCTCGTCGTTACTTTTGGATCATGACAGCATTTGCCTATGATCAAACTCTTAACCTAGAGTTAAGAATCGTGGCACCTTGGCCTGGCCCATCGCAATGCCAGGGTAGCACATAACTTACCGGCTTGCCCTGGTTCCATCCAGTCCCACGTCGGGACCCTGCCCTTGGAGTGCTAGGAAGTGAGGGCAACTGAGGCTTAAGTTGAGAAGGCAGATGCCCAGGAGTGAATAATATTCAAGGCCAATCAATTCCTAAGTTACAAAGCATAATATTAATTACTTGTCTTCCTGTATCTATACAAAAGGACATTGCGTTAAAGTAAACTGCTCAAAAGACATAAGGAGAGGAGAAAGGCGATATTAACTTACAGTACAGCTTCAGTGTCTAAGCAGGATGAGACCTTACAAATTGGTTGGGGAAGAGAGCATAGAAGTGGTTACAGACAAAGTAACGGGAGTGACTCGGGAGCACTGCGATGGGTGCAACCTGATAAACCTAAGCTCCGTGTACTCCAACAGCTCAGGTTCCACAGAATCTGACATGGCTCTTAAGGCAGTTTAGCCCTTTAATTTCCTTAGAAGCCCTTGACTCCATTTTCGTTCCCCTTCCTAAGTCACTGTCTCAAATAAATCACTGATCCCTGAGCCTTGAGCTTCCTAGAACTTCTCTAACTGAAGAAAGAAGCCCAAGCCCAGATTGATGAAAATTTACCCAGAGAACAATTCTTCATGGACAGAGGCCACTACTGAACTTCAGGGGACTACAAGCCTTTGAAATTGAATGTAAAATCATGTAAGTATATACAATTTCTACCAAGAAGAATCATTGTTTTAACATTTTTTTGACGGCGTGAGGTGGGAATAAGACCACACCTAGCAGTGCTCAATGCTTATTCCTGGCTCCTAGCTCAGGGATCATTCCTGGTTGTCCTTAGG